GCCCACCTATGAGTGCGTAATGCACTTGTTCAAACTGTCTCTCTCTTTCTCATTCGTTTACGTTGATACACCTTAGTAATCTGGGGTCTATCAAAAACCTAAAGTTGGGATTACAAGAAGCACTTCCAATTAACTAGAAGGTAAGAGTAGCTATAGTGATGAAACAAAGGAGAACATTTACACTAGGATACAACATTGTAAACTATAGCATCAAAAACCCTCTCAAAAGGATGGCATTTGCTGTTGAAAGTTCTTTGGTTTCGTTCGCCCCATATGATCCAGAGAAAAGCTCGAATAAAGGTCAACCATAGCTGTTTCTTTTGTTTTTTGAAAGGACGTCCAGATAAGGTGAACTCTATGAGGGTGGGAGGATCATTTGGTAAGGCCGTGGACCATCCAAAAGTGTTTAGTAGGAAATTCCAAAATGCTAAAGCAAAGTTGCAAGAGACAAAAAGGTGTTGTTGTGATTCTGAACTGGATTGACAAATAGAGCACCACAGTGGTAAAATAGCCATATATGGCAACCGGCGTCGAAGATTATCGTTGGTGTTAAYAGCATGGTGACTAAGCACCCAAAGGAAAAAAAAATTCACTTTTTCTGGGTATTTGTCCCGCCAGATTGTTTTGGAAATCCTAACGAGAATGAGTGAGAAAAACCTGACTCGTGAGGAAGGAAGAATGAAARTTGTCTAATTTAGCTTCATAGAGGACAAACGATAAATATGAAGAAATCTAGGGCAAAGTGGTATGTCGCCCGACCCAACCCAAGTGTCTTTAGGACCCATTCCCTACGAGGCATTTCACAAATCGAGTGAAGAAAGGTACCTTGGAGGAAATGAATCTCTAGTGGTTTTTGARAGTGGTTGACCCAAACCTGAGGCTCACTCAAGGGATTGGGACCATATTTTAGGGGTGTTCATTGGTCGGTCGATGTTGGTTTTCACACAAAACCAATGCCGATAACAAGAGAGGATGAAAGAAAGGAAGAAGAGGGAGGGAGATGAAGCAAGAAATGAAAGAGAGAACTAAGAAAAGAGAGGAAAGAGGAGAAAGAAGAAAAAACGAGAGAGATAGAGAAAAAGTGGAGGGAAAAAAGGGGAGGGAGAAAAAGTGGAGGGAAAAAAGGGGAGGGAGAGAGAAGTTGAAAAGAGGATATTAAACATAAAAAGAAAAGTAAAAGAAATGTGGATATCACACGGCCATGTTGGTGAGAGAAAGGGAAGTGTCAAAAGAGAAAATAGAAGGAAAGAAAATATGATTCACGTGAATCAGCATTCATGTTAATCACGTGAATGATGGACGCAGATTCCTCGACCTTATTTTTTTTATTTAATAAATCAGTCGGTCTATCGGTTTTCTTTGGTATTGGATGAGCCGGTTGGCCAAACTAGTCAGTTTTTCAAAAGGAAAAATCAATTCCTACCAATTCTTCTTTAAAATCAACGTGGGTCAGATTGGTTTTTCGGCTATGGTTGATCACCCCTATCATATTTGCTTATGATAACCCTATGCCATAGAGAATTGACCTCCAAGGGAAAGCGTCACAGCCATTTAGCTAGAATGGAATCATTACGAAGCTCCAATAGCCAATACTCAAACCTCCACAGAATGAGACCTTCCGCCCTCCTCAGACCCAACACTCTTTTGTCTCCATAGTTCATTTTTCATCTCTTATCTCGAAAATGAGTTGATACTAGAAACCTAGGAAGGATGTACTAGAGTGTCTAGTTTTTATTTTTATTTTTATTTTTATTTGTATTTTTATTTTTAATTTCAGACATGTGAGGGATGGACACTCCCACTTAAAAGAAACTTATTTTTAGTTTAAAAGAAACCTAGAATCAAATGAAAAATAAAAGCCCAACCCCAACCCATTAAGCACTTAAAAACCCACTAGGAAAAAAAAAGTTATAACATAAAAAAAAACCCAAACAGTAACGAAGGAGAGTTTCTCATTTCCTTTCCCACTTGCCCGATTGATCTTTGACTCTCTCTACCTTCTCTTTGCCTCCCTCCACCTCTGATTGCCCTCCTCTCCACCTTCAATCAACGTTGCCACCAACTAGCTCTAACCAACTATGCCGTCGTCGCTGCAACTAACTAGGTTTGGAAGTTTTTTATTAGAAGTATTACTATGTCAATATACACATATATTATCTAATTTTTTTATAAAAAATTTAACATGTCCGTKTTCTACATTGTTAGAAATTGGCGTGTCGCTATGTACGTGTCGTGTCACTATCCCGTGTTTGTGTCCGTGCTTCTTAGGTATAAACTTGTATCTGCTTATGTTTTCTTTCCACAAATGTTAATGCACCCGATTTTTTGGTGTTGAGCAAATGCAGCATCTCAGGAACAAAAAAGAATAATAAAATAAACTAACCACTACAGGTTGGCTAGTGGTCATCGAGACGAGTGAAACAGCAAAGGAGCTCAGAGGAATGAGTTCAAAAACTCGTTGTGACTATGTGTCTAGGATATTAGATTCCTATGAGTTCTTGAATAACTAAATGTTATAGAGACAGATAATTGTCCTGTGAGATATTGATTCAAAGTTCAAACATTCACTGATATAGACAAAGAAAGATTTGCATTCCTTGAAACAATAGCGATATGCTGAAGGAGTGTTTATTTGTGTGCGGTAGGGACCTTGATACCTGATTAAAGTTGCTATTTGAAAATTTACAATTAGAAACTCTGTTCAAGAAATGTTTATATTTGTGGTTATTCTCATCCTATTGTGTTCTTTACCGTGTAGGATGCTTTTATCTTGTGGGATACATATGGATTTCCATTAGATTTGACTCAGGTACCTAGTCTCTCTCTCACATACACGMACAATTATTGCTTGCATGCATATGGTCTAGCTAATAACATTTTCATGGGCTAGTTGATGGCGGAAGAGAGGGGGCTGCTGGTTGATATTCAGGGTTTCAATAATGCCATGGATGAGGCAAGGGAAAGATCAAGAAATGCTCAAAATAAGGTGAGTTATTTTTGCTAGAGTACATTCACATTCTACAGTCGTGTTTGACAGTTCATTGTTTAATATTACATGGACCTACTGGCTACTGGTGGAAAAAAAGCCGATTATCTTTTGGGCAAAATGTAGATGCTTTCATATACTGAACAATGCAAAAGAAGCTATGAATGACTATGGATTATTTAACTGATTGGAGAAAACATTTCGTTATTTTTATCTTTCGTTTTATTTCCTCTCTTCCAGCAAGCTGGTGGTACTATTGTCATGGATGCTGATGCTACAGCATCATTGCACAAAAAGGCAGTTGCTTCAACCGATGACAAATTCAAATTTATTTGGTTTAAGGTTTGTGAAGTTGTCAGTTATATTAACAGTTTTGGTTGTTTGACTGCTGTATGTATTTTTAAACCCTCCGATCTTTGTAATTCCAGGATCATGAAAGTGTGGTAAAGGCTATTTACACTGGTAGTGAATTTCCAGAAAGTGTAGCAGCTGGTGATGAAGTTGGTTTAGTCCTGGAATCTACAAGTTTTTATGCTGAGCAAGGTGGTCAGGTATTTTAAAATCTTGGGATCCCTATCATGATGCTTGATAAGAAAGGGCTCCATTTACCATTCCGGCAGATCTTTTGTATGTCTAAGAACTCTAGCCTAGCCTCTGAATGTACCTACTGAAAAGCAACTCTTTAAATTGTTSGAGCATTATACTRTTGTTAATTAACTGGTCTGTTCTGCTTTTTGTCTGGTACTTTAATTGTTTTACATTTCTACTTACTGCGTTTGTTACTTCCACAAATGAGCTTTATATTTTTGGAAAAAGCTCGCTCATGGGCTCTTTCTATTTGTCAGAAATGAATCCTTGTTGCAGTTTGGGTGATCTTATGAAGTAGATTAACTGGAAGATACAATGCAACTAGAGGATTTAATAAAATCAGAATTTGGAAATTGTTCTGTTTATAGTTTAAATAGTATGATTTTATGCAATTATTTTGCCTTGTTGTCTTTATTATTATTGTATATCTGATTTATGATGCTCTTGTCTTTGGCATTAGATTTTTGATACGGGATCAATTGAAGGTCCCTTTGGCTCATTTCAAGTATGCAATGTTCAAATATATGGAGGTTTTATTGTACATATCGGTTCATTTAATGGAGGGAGTGGCAGAATTTTTCTGGGTGACAAAGTTATTTGTAAGGTAAATTTTTGAATTTTTATATGCATATATTATCATTTATATTTAATTGAAAATCTTTTTGCTATTCAGTGGCTTTGGGAAGCTTTCTTTGGTTTATCAATGCAACGATTTCTTATCTATATTTCTTTCGCCATTTTTTCACAAGTCTATTGATGCATGCAGGTCGACTACGAGCGGCGTAAGCTCATTGCTCCTAACCATACTTGTACACATATGTTGAATTTTGCTCTTAGGGTATGTTTGAATTTTGGATGACATGTAACTCATAATTATTAAAACTGATATTCCATCTGTTTTCCAAGCTTATTTGAATAATAATTGCACAGGAAATACTTGGAAATCATGTTGATCAGAAGGGTTCAATCGTTCTTCCTGAAAAACTGAGATTTGATTTCTCTCATGGTTAGATTTTTTTTCAGCTGTTGTTTAATTTTTGTCAATTCATTGGAATTGTTTTCTTTCCTTTTTTAAGTTTTTCAAAAAAGAAAGTGTCTTAATGAAAATGAATCACCAAAAGAGGGGACGGGGAGGGGGAGGGGTGGGAGGCAGGAAGAGGCAACCTAGAAAATTCTTAGAAAGGAATTCTCTCAATCTAGCCAATGAGGTTAAAGGAACTCTACAATTCTCTTGGGGGTTATAAGAAGTGCGACTACAAAATTTCTTAGAAACCATCTAAAGACCGAAAAGTAATGGTCTCCAAAATTTCGTGTGTAAGGAAGCCATATTTTCGAAGGTGTGCAGTTWGAGCTTTCATTTGGTGCTTATGGAAAGAGAGAAACCATTGGGTTTTTAACCATATTTCTCATCCAACTGATTATTTATGGAAAAGTGTACAAATTACTACTGCATCGTGGTGTATAAACCATAGAAAATATTTTGTAACTCAGTTTAGTGATGCTCACACATGATTGGAAAACTGTAATGCGTTAGTTTCTTGGGAGGGGCCTCTCATCCCCCTGCCTTGTTCGTTTTGTGGCTAATACATCTGTTTCTTATATAAAATAAAGGAAAAAAAAAGAACATATTTTCGAAGGTGTTGTGGTGCCTCTCAAGCCAAATATAGCCTATCTTACAGAAACAATTACCTTAATTCAGAAAACTTTTTGTTTTACCATGAAACCAAGAATGTGTTGGGAATATTGGGAATACTAACGTTATTAGCAGTGACATATTTGTAATACTTGAGAAGTTTGTTAGAGTTGAGTGGCTATAAATAGAGGAAGTCAGGGCATTCAATTTGGGAGGTTAGTGCTTATAGTTTCCACTCCTAAAGGTAGTTTTTAGTGTGTTACTTTTTTGTTGTGTTGTGTTTATTTTGCTTTCCACCAGTCCCCAAAATGAGWTAGAGGTAGGGCGGCCCCTTGGGAGAACCCCTAGACCTAAGGTAGGGCATTTGCCAAGATGTAGCGCAATTATAAAAATGGTTTTAGTTCCTCATTGCTCCAGTGTAAACTTATGATAGCTAGCTGATTCGGAATGTCCATAAGACTTCTCTTCAATTATTAGCTGTCTCATCAGCAAATTGGACGTGACTTATTTGCACCCAGTTATTGCTAGTGGAAAAACCTTTGACGAGACCATCTGTGGCAGCTCTATGGAGAAGTTTATCTCCGAGTGTTCGCAACCAGAACAAAAAGGAAATGGTAAAGGAGGATGACTTTAGGAGAATGGGGGGATAAAAAGCCATGCCAATTTAATTGTATATCCATTTCTTCCACGTTGGGCGAAAACCCTTATTCTCCAGAACGATATACCGAAAACTTAAATCAACGAAATCAAAAACTGCTCCATTATTCTCGTATTAGCCAAGTTCTGTTTCTTCTCATGGGAAGATGTCTTGGTCATCTTCAATCGTGTATTTGAAATTTTGATTGCTTAATGTCTCCTGAATTAAATAGGCAAGCCAGTGGATCCTGAGGATTTGAGAAAAATAGAATCAATTGTGAACAAACAAATAGAAGATGAGCTGGATGTATATGCTAAGGAGGCAACCCTTGCTGAAGCAAAGCGTATTAATGGGCTACGAGCTGTTTTTGGAGAAGTAAGATGCTAGTTGTMTTCTTTATTTCTGACAGCTTTTATAAGCATGATGTCCAATATCTTCCCTGTTTATGATGCAGGTGTATCCCGACCCAGTTAGAGTTGTCACAATTGGGAAAAATATTGAGGAACTCCTGGCTGATCCAGATAATGAAAACTGGTTAACCATTTCTTCGGAGCTGTGTGGAGGTTAGTGTGTTCTTATCATGGCTTTCTCTTCTTGCAGCCTGGGCTAAGCTTGCTTCAAATATTACAATGGACTTTTCCAGGGACCCATATATCAAATACACGGGAAGCAAAGGCATTTGCCCTTCTATCTGAAGAAGGAATTGCTAAGGGAGTTCGAAGAATTACTGCTGTTACTACTGATTCTGCCTTTAAGGCAATTGAGCTGGCTCAATCGCTTGAGCAGGAGGTTGACGCTGCTTTTAGTATAGATGGTAGCTTGCTGGAAAAGGTCTCTCTCTCTCTCTCTCACACACACACACAAACACTGGAAATGGCAGATAGGTATAATTGTGGGAGGGGATGGTTGTTGGAATTTGTTCTTGAATAGGCTGCTTTTTGACGGTTTTGCCATTGCTGTTACATTTTTCTGTAGTACCATTGCATTCAATTCCACTCATCCTTTTTCCTATATAGGAAACTAAACACTAGTAAACAAGAAAAAGATGCGGAGTGGGAAGAATACGAGTTATCCTCAAAAGAAGAGAGAAAAATCCCAATAATGGAAACGAGAACCTCATTTACACTAGGTCCTTGAAAAGGAAGAGATGCTATAAAAAAGATTTCGCATTTTTACACTGGAAATTAGTAAATCTCAGTAACTTGATAGTTTCACAAGTGACAAAAGATCATCACACATGAAAAAGAAAATGAATACGTTGGAAGTAATAGTCTGATCCTCTACTCTACTCGTAGGAAATAGCTTCAGTAAAAATTTTCTCGTTCTTATTGATGTTTACATTGGATGTCATCTAAAAGAAAGTCATTTACGTTGAGTGTGTACCTCTAGCCACATTTTAACGGCTCAAGTTAATTCTTGTTCACTTCTCTACTGCAGGTGGTTTCTTCGTTCAAAAACCGTGTTGATTCAGCACCAATTCCTGCTGCTAAAAAAGCTGAAATTAGGGCTAAAATTGCCTTGCTCCAGGTATTGCTTGTAGACCCACTGTGCATTGATTGCTCCAGTAAACTGTGTATTTCTTTCTTACCTGCAAATTGTTGTTCCATATAGATTGAAGTGAGGAAGGTTCAGAAGAAGCTTGCTGAAGAAAATATGCAGAAAGCTGTCAAAATTGCAATTGAAACAGCAGAAGTGGCTTCTTTAGATGGCAAGGCCTTCTGTATATCCCATGTTGATGTTGGTTTGGATGCAGCCGCAGTTCGTGAAGCAGTTGTCAAAGTTATGGAACAGAAGGTCATTTCCTAAAAGTGCTTTGTAAAAAATACTTTTGATGTTTGGTTCTACGTTCTTAAAAATACTTTTTTGGTGCTTTTAAGTACAGCACTTTGGTTAAAACATCCTACAAAGGACTCTGTTACAAAATACTTYAAAGATGAATTGGCCTTTCTCCGATACCATTTTTATATTATTTCCAAGCATGAAGATTTTGAGCSGAGTAATCTCAGGCTTGAACAATTAAACTATTGCTTGCYTTTAATCCCTGAAACTCATTCACTCAATATAAAACCAGCTCCTATTSACAAACTTTTTAGCTAATGACTAATATAGCTTTAGTATCTGAACAATATTTCTAAAATCTACCTTAATGATATTCCTAACCTATTCACATGTTACTTGCAAAAGGCATGAGAGTAAGAGTGTTCAAAAAATTGATGCCCCCACTGTGTGCTTCAATAGCAGAGGTGTGAAAAAAATGGTTACTATTTCTCTCTTGCAATTTCCTTTCCCTTAGTGTGATAGTTCCATCACTCTACCTTCTGTTCTCAGCGAAATTAGTCCATCTCCTCCAATGGTGAAACACGTAGTATAGAGAGAATTTCTTTATTGATTTCACTTATGATTTCAAGTGAATATCTTCTCTTAGAATGCAAGGATTTGATTTTGTATTTGTGATCAAYAGGGCATATCAGCGATGGTTTTCAGCACTGATGAAACCACAAAGAAAGCCGTGGTTTGTGCTGGGGTTCCTCTAAAGGGGAGCCAAGGGAAGCAACTAGAGGCGTCAGAGTGGTTGACAAAAGCTTTGCAGCCTCTGAAAGGAAGGTGCGGGAAGGGGAAAGGTGGCCTTGCTTCGGGCCAGGTAAGTTTAGTTACCTGCTTCCTCTACTGTATCTCTTGTGGAAGTCTCTCAACTCTGGTTCTGATATATAGGATCAGAACCATAGTCATGATGAGTAATTAGTTATTTTTATTGACCTCTTGGGAACTTTATAATTTTAACCTCTGGGAGGTAGGGAAAAGGGGGTGGTGGGGGCTTCACATGATGGCCTATTAGCAGATTGTTAACGGCCCCCAATTTATAAATTTTTAAAATTTTAACTTATAAACACTTMATTCCTGCTACGTAAATGTGTTTGTAAGAATGGTGAAGAACATACTGAAGAGATTTAGGAGTAGGCATGAAAATTGAAAACTTAAAATAAATCGATATCAAGTGCAGCCTAAGGTATTTGACTAAGTACCAAAGGRAGAGGCTTCCATGATTTTTAGAATAGGAAGATTGAAGTGTCATTTTGATCTTTATAATGTTTTAAACATACTTTATTTTCTGAAATGCTTTGTGTTCTCTAGGGAACTGATGCATCTCAGATAAAGGAGGCAATGGATCTTGCTACATCTTTTGCATYATTGAAATTGAGCCAATGAAAGCTCAGATTCCTCGATTCTTAGTTACAGGAGTTTCGATATTCTGTTCTGCAATTATTTGGGCTAACTTATGGAAATTGGGTATGGAACACAGTAGAATTTACTGTCAAAACATTTGCACCCTGCTATACCTTCCACACTTGATGATAGTTTTTTTTTTTTAGTGTCCCAAGTCAAGAAGTTGTAAAGCATTGTTGCAATGTAAAAGTTGTGTTTTCTTTTAATTCATATTCTATAGAAGATTAAATTATAATTTTGAGCGAAAGCTGGTCGGTTCAACTTAATCCTTAGCGCAAATCGATGTTGAATTTGAGGTATGTTAATACTRACCATCTTATTAGAGTTGATAAAATCAACTGTGAAATCAATTATAATCAAATTAAATCAACTAAATTTGACTAGTGTAGATTTTATTCTTGCTAAAACTAGATAATGGGAGAGATTTTTGTTTTGTTTTGTTTTTTTGTTTTGGTCCAACAGGATTGATTTAGTACTTGCACAGTTTGCATAAATGTTTCTTGTGATTTTGACCAAATATATTCATCTCTGGAATGATTAATTGAAAGTTGCTGCTATTCTACTTTTCAAGGTTGAAGACTGGATAGACAAGGTATTGCCTTTTTAAGACTGATAACTGTTATTGCTTCATTTACTTACTTAGAATTGGAATGAAAATCAAGTTTATTACACATCAGAATGTTATTTCTTGGATACTCTTTAACTGGAAATTTTTTGAAATTGGAATTAGAAATTCGTTGATGATTTTTATTAAGAGGAAACGGAATAAGAATTATATATATAACCACTACTAATATATCATTTTTTTTATTTCTAGCTAATTATAAATATATTGACTAATTTTAAATACATTGACTAAAAAGTTTGGTAATATTATTTTTAATTAAAAATAAGTTGGGCTCGAACATTTATAAGTGTCAGAGAAAAATAATAATAATTACATTTTATTTTATTGATTGTAAATACTAATTGATTTAATATTAATAAATAATAATTAATAAAAATAAAAATTACATCAACTAAAAAAGGTGAATATAATTTTTATTAGAACAATTAAAATATAATTGATATAACATTTTAATATTAATATAAACATTAATTTATTACTTAATAATAATATTTTTTATTTTAACAATTTTATTGATACTAATTAATAATAACAAAATAATTAAATTGTTGGTAATTTAAATAGAAAATTGTAATATCTTATCATAAAACCACATCAACCATTAATTTTTATTATAATAAAAATTGGTACTATAAATAAGTAAATAAAATTGTAAAATAATTAAATTTATCAGAGATAGTAAAAATTGTAAAATAATAATTTAAAAATTGTGAGTACTCTAGGATGAATAATGAGAATTAGATTGACGAGAGATTTTAAGAGATAAACGAGATAATCTTTAAGTTTGAGATGAATTCCATAAATTATCATCRGAACGAAAGTTTTCTTGATTCTCATTTGGACTTATAAAACTRGTGCTCCCATCGACAATGGACATAAAAGGAGGGACTGTTTCTCAAGAAAATGGTCAAACTTATAAATAAGAATTCTTTACCCATTTAGGGTTGGAGATAAATTAATTCATCAAAAGCAAAATAGGTATATATATATAATGTATGTTAGGTAGGTAGTCTATTTAGAGAAGTTTCATTTTTTTATCTTCCCTTTATTATTTTCTAAGCACAATCATAAAGAATTATTTGGAGAAATAGATGCATTGAATAAGGGTGTTTTTTATTAATAATGTTAATAATAAAAGTTATTTTAAAAATATTGTATTTTAATTAAAAATGTTTAAAATATGGTATATTTTGAAACTTTTTTWAAAAATATAGTAGTTTTAAAAAAGTGAACAAGAGACGACCATGCAACGTGGCGCCATGCTAGACGCCACGTAAATTTGTTTTAAATTTAGGAGGTGGTCGTCTCTTCAAGAGACGAAGAGATGACCATTCGATCGGTTCATTTTTRGAAAAAAAAATAACATTTGTTATATTATATATTATTTAATAGTTTAAATCAAAAAACTGCTTAGTGGTACTGCTGCCCTGATAACACTCCCATCCCAAGTTCAAATCTTGGGTCATGCAACTTTTATTTTTATAACCATTAATCATCTATTTTCTCTTTTTTACTTAATATAAATAATAGTATAAACAATAACATATAAAATAAAAGAACATACAATAATAGAAATAATAATAACTTTATTATTATTAAATGAATAATAATATATAGAATAGAAAAAAAGAAGTTTGGATGGAAATGGTAATATTAAGTAAAAAGAGACAAATAAATAATAATAATAATAATATATATATAAAAAGAGAAATGATTAATGGTTATAAAATAAAAAARTGTGTTACCCAAGATTCAAACTTGGGATGGAAGAAATAATAAGGTAGTAGTACATCCACTACACCAATAARCAGTTTTTAACATTAAAACTACTAAATAATATATAATATAACAAATTTTTTTTTTCCAAAAATTAATCGACCAGATGGTCGTCTCTTCCCACAAAGAGACGACCACGTTCAAATTTTTTAAAAAATTTACGTGGCGCCCACGTGGCGCCACGTCTAAATGGTCGTCTCTAGAATAGACGACCAACCTTCTATTTTTTAAAAGTACAATATTTTTAAAATAAGTTTCAAAACCTACAATATTTTTAATATTTTTAATTAAACAACTATATTTTTAAAATAATTTTGATTTGAAACAATATTTAAAAAAAAATCCCATTGAATAAGATATATACGTTGCTACTTTGGAGACAACATTAATTCTTTTTGACTCTATCAAAGTTTTTATGTAATAATCCAGACTCTTGGAAATTATATTGCTTCTCGAAAAAGAAAATTTGAGAAATGATTGGTCTATTTGATAACTTTTTTATTTCTTGTTTCCTAGTTTCTCTTTTTAACAAAGAATAAAACTTTTCTTCTTCTTTCCTTTTTTTTATTGATAAAAAATATGAATATATTTTATGTTCTCTAAAATTTTAAATTAAAGAAGTAAATATGTTATATGAAAATTATTATTTTTAATTAAATATTCTACTTATTCTATTTTTAAATAGTTATTATGCATTTTATAAGTCTACGGTCATAAGGTTCGAAAACATTTTTTAAAAAAATAAATTTGTCAAATTCTACCAACCGCATATTCACTAGATCAAATAGATTCATCTGAAAAAAAAAACAAATCTTAATTGTCAACCAAACRTACTCTAAAAACGTTTATTTATTTATGTCATTTTTATTAAAATAGCTTTTGAATATTGTTGCTCACTGTTTCGTCACTAACTTTTATTACGGTATAAATTATATTTGCAGAGCTCTTTTTCTTTTACTTTGCAAATAATTTTTTATGTAGCCAAAGTAATTTGTAAAAAATTTATCATTCATAGGAGAAAAAAAAATACATAATGTTTAAATTATATTATGTGATTTGTTTTTAAATCTATAACGTATTATATTAGGATTTTTTTTTCTCTCTTATATTAGAAGATTGTCCAATAGATAGAAACTTTTCTTTGTGGTTCTTTAAATTATTTCGCTGAGATACCAAATGCTTATTATTCATCATATATCTTCTCCCTTTTTTATGGTAATGGGAAGGGAATGATGCTTCGCTTTGATCTCATGATCTATTAAAATAAATATAATTTAAACATCGTAAATTGAAGAGTTACAAGTTTAATACAATAATATTGTACTTGTTAAAAAAAAGATTGTGCTTATTTAATTGCAGTTTATATTAAATTGTAGTTCTTAACGTGAAATAATTGAATGCATCTGATGGAATAGTTTACGACCGTTGACTTTTATTAATTACTCATACCACTGTAGAAAAAAAAAGAAAAAAAAGTAATTATTTGATTTTTATACGGTGTGGTGAGTAAGTTATTATGCTAAAACTCGTCGTGTCATCCTATCACGGAAAGAACACTTGTTACTATTAATATTTTTATACATATAACAAATACATCCAATATTGAGAGATATTATACTCAATTCTTACTTTGTTAATAAAACGTGTAAGCAATATCACTATTAAGCAATATCACTATTTTGCACTCAAGTTTGTAACTTAACGTATTATAAAATATCTATATTTGACTCACAACATTCTAATAGTCTTAAACTTGTCTAGCTAATGATCACTTGATTAGTCAACTTCTACGATGAGACTCACATGTTCGACGTTTAGGAAGTTAAATAATATTTATCAATTAAACTTACAAATAGGAGGGTAAACCAACGGTATAAAAGCTAACCTAAACCTAACTAATTAAAGACATTTATAATTGTTTAATGAGACCATAGGTTTAAAACTCTACCAAAAATTCGTTAGAACGATAAATCGTGTTTACGAATCGCGACTATGAGGTTGGAAAACAATACAACAACTGACGTATGTCGTGTAGGGCAAAGGGCATAAATAAGTGGAATTGAAATTTTGGATTTTAAAAGTTAAAACCACAATTGAATGAGGAGAGGATTTTCCAGAGTCAAGGGGGAACAGTTGATCGTTACATTTCTTAGCTCTTCTCTTACTTCTCTGCATTCCCCGCCGCCACTCTCCGCCACCGCCTATTCCTCCTTTGGGATTCAGTTCTTCCTCAATTTCCCGCTTTTTCGCTGTTTTTCTTCATCATCTACGTCGTCCGAGCCACTGATTTCTTCATTTCTGCCGTATTCTCCGCCAGCAATGCCAGGGGCCGGTTCTCAAGACGTGGAATGGCCGGCCAACCGCGTGAGGGACACATTTTTTCGATTTTTTGAGGAGAAGAATCATGTTCATTGGAAGTCTAGTCCTGTTGTGCCGGTTAACGACCCGACCCTTCTCTTTGTTAATGCTGGTTTGTCTCTCTTTCTCATTTTCGTAATTTTTAGTTGCTTAATGCGTGGTTCTGGGTGGAGGGAGTGGAAGAATGGGTTATTGGGTCGTTCAATTTGATGGGCTACACGAAGATTCTTCATTGCTTGAGATGTTGGGTGTTTGTTGCAGGTATGAATCAGTTCAAGCCCATTTTTTTGGGCACAGCTGATCCTAATACGTCTTTGAGCAAGCTTACCCGAGCTTACAACACCCAGAAATGCATGCGTGCTGGTGGGAAACACAATGATCTCGATGATGTTGGAAAAGACACTTATCACCATACTTTCTTTGAGATGCTTGGCAATTGGTCGTTCGGTGATTACTTTAAGAAGGAAGCCATCGAATGGGCCTGGGAGCTCCTTACCCAGGTTAGTTGACTCTTACAAACGCCGAAGCATTTCTACTTTTGTCTGTCACGAGCTTTTGTTGCGTATCCTGATCGTGTGATCGTGTCATAAGTCGAGTTGGATATGGGTTGGTTCTTTTGAGCATTCTGTCTTGCGTTAAAAGTGATTATAGTAGCATCATAGTGTATCAAATGCGGCGTGTTGTCGGGTTCAGGAGAGACACCGTTACGGACATTACCGAAGGTCGGCTCGGCTTCTTAGGTCTTACCCTGACCGCCGACCTTAGTGTTTTTAAGTCAATTTCCATATTTTGCACGGATGCCAATTTAACTCACCATTTCGATCCGGACACGTGGCAAGTCAAAATCCACATCCAACATTGGCCCCCACTTCGGCGGGGCGGAGGTCGGCTCAGCGAAGTACTCCGAGCTAAATGAGGATGAGTTGAACCCATGTGTCCATGCATGACGTCACGCATTTTGTCAGCCCTAATTTCTGTCTCGAGAACTCAAACGTCGCCACGGGGATCGCCCAAAACTTAGCTTCTACTTCGGGAAATCCTCATGTAGATCATAGCTCGGTAAACCCTAATGTAGTCTCCACCTCGAGGAACCTTAACCTAGCTTCCACCTCAGGAGACCCCACTGCTGGTACAGTAGTTGAGCTTCCCCCCTCAACTTGCTTGGTAGGTAGGCTTGCCGAGCTCCGTAAGACCTACTTTATCCCTGATTCCATAAAGCTTAGGGTGCCCAACGTCGGCAAATACCTCGAGGATCCCCTATCCGGGCTTCGTTAGTTTTTACCCCAAAATGTTTAGTATGGGGGTTAGGCTTCCACTTCATCCGTTCATCCAGAGGTTCCTTAGCGCAGTCAACCTCGCCCCAGCTCAGCTCTCTCCCAACGGATGGTCTACCGTGCTCGGAGCTTACGTGTTGTGGTGGACCATCCGGGACGGGGACGAGGATATGTTAACGGTAGATCAACTTCTTGCCACCCACACAGTTAAAGCCTCCAACGAGGGGGAGGGTAAGTACTACCTCTCAGCTCGGAGGAATGTAGGTCAGCTCATTAGGAATCCCTCTTCAAATAAAAAYTGGAAAGAGTGTTGGTTCCTCGTCTCCGGTGATTGGCTCGTGAGAAACGAAGGGGGTGAGCTGATCTGCCACATCCCAGTAGAGTTCGGAGATGTAGCTGAGTGTCTTAGGCAAGAGCTAGGGTCTTTTGGGTCTTCTTTCTTTCTTTCCTTTTTCCTGACGACGTTTTGTGGTGCAGCTCTGCCAGCTCCCGTTCCGAGGATAACAACCAATCGTGGGAGATCGTCAAACGTGCTCAAGGTTGGAACCTTAAGTATGCTCTATGGGGTAAGGCTCTTGTTTCAAACTTGCACCTCTTCTCCTGCGGTCTCAGCCTTCACGACTAGCCGGACGAGTTCAAGAAGCTCCCCAAACCTCGACAATGCGGGTAAGATAAGCGCAAGACTTCAGAAGGTAACCTTTGCTCGGTATGTTGGTTCATATCCTAAATGACCTCACTAACCTTGATCCCTTTTACAGGAATGGCTTCCAAGTTCCTCGCTCTCGGAAGTGGAAAACGATAGCATGCGTCCACCTCGGTTGCTCAACCTGCGGCACCCCAGGTGTCACAATCGCACTTTAACGGGACTCACGAAGCGATTGTGCGACACTTGCTTTCACCCTCTAGCAAGTCAGCAAATGTGGAAACGAATAGCCGGTGGCACAAAGGCTATATGTCGCAACCTCCACCCCCGTTCTCGAGAAAACGGTTTTGGAAAACGGGGTTAGAGAAAAAGGTTTTG